GGGCGCTGGCTTGGAAAGAGGAAAGCGAAACAAGTAGAGTAGCTTGTCTCGCTGTTGGGTGCGCCTCCGCGTGACTTGTACGGTAGGGTAGGGTAGGCAGTCACCTCACCTCAAGTGTCGGGTCTCGTGGATGTGGTAATGGCATGCGAGGGAGAGAGAGAAGGCGAATTGACTCTCTCATTCTCTCATTCTCCCTTTCTCTCGCTCATGCCATAAGTTGTTACCCCTCGAGTCATGTCTCCTTGCTCCTCCTTCGCATTTTTCGGTTGGTCATCATTTTTCGTTGCGGGGTGTTTTACGGGCAGGCCCTCGCCGACCAGTACAAGGCCGAGTGCACACCCGGCAGCAGCGGCGGCGGCGGCGGCGGCGAGGCCCCGCTGTTCCCGGCCGCAAACGCGCTGTCCCTCCTCGACGCCCACGCGAGTGGGATAGCCGACGACCGCGACAGGGCCACCTTCTGGACAACGGCCAGCGACCTGGCCAAGGTCTTGCTTCAGGTATGATGTAGCATAAATCACATCGTGAGTGGGCTGGGACATGTGGGGCGCCGGCGTGTAATAGTCGTACACGCCAGGGGGGGGGTCTCGCATGTTGTTTCTCTTGGCGATTCGACTTTTGACTCGGCATCTCGTTCGACACGGGGCACCGGTGAATCGATATTTCCCCTAGATACCCCGACCCGAGAGTGGTTATTGGATGCGGTTCATCATGATCAACGTCGGGTGGTAAGCCTGGTCCTTTTGAGGCCTTTTTTTCGGGAGAGGACAGGTTGGAGGTATTGTTTTCTTCACGGCGGTGGTCAAACAAACAACGAGCGGTCGGTTGACACACTCCTCGAGACCCAGTCCCATCATTTTTTTTGTTTTTCTTTGTTGGGATGGGGGGGGGGCGGTGTACTCAGTCATGTATGCCGTAGTCGTTAGACCATTAACCTCGCATCCCCACGAAGCCGGGACGGAGCACGCCGGGTTGTCACCGGACCAGGCTCTCACATCACCAAGCGCGAAGCGCCGTTGGGCTGGGGGAGCGAGAATTCCCACTCAAACACACGCGCGGCCTGTTCCCCCTCCTCGCCAGCTGAAATCTTGCTTCCCTTGTTTCTTTTTTCTTTTTTCGCTTGTGGCGACGACGACAAAACAGCCAGCTGAAATCTTGCTTCCCTTGTTTTTTTTGTTTTTTTCTGTTTTGCTTGTGGCGACGACGACTAAACAGCACGTGCAAGGCCCCGCCGGACGAGCGTCTGCAGCGCTGCTCCAGCTCATCCAGGAGTACCTCGTCGTCGAGAGGAGCTTTGCAGGTACTGCTGTGTGCTAGACCATGCTATCATATGCTATAGTAGATAGGTGTGGATGGTTGGTGACACCTACAACAAGGCCCGCCTTTTGCTTCCTACCCCTTTTGATTTAACTCACCAACACGGCTGTTTGAAGATTGTCATAATGGTCTTGCTGTGGTTGCCGAGCCGAGGGAGGAGGTTGGCTGGTATGCTTAAAGTAGGCGTGGACGTTTGTCAACAACATCAACGCGCGCCCCTTGCTTCCCGCCTGATGCTTGTTCAAGTATCGCCAGAGCTTAATTCCTTGACAGTAACAAGTTATGTCGATATGTATGTATTGTATCTCGCTTCTAAATGTAACATTAGACACGCTTGCTATGCTTCAGGCGTCGACATGGAGGACTCGCTGAAGGCCCTCCGCAAGGCCTACGAGGGGGAGGAGGCGATCAGGGTGTACGACGCGTTCCGCAGCCACGCCGCCATCCACCGGAAGAACCGCCTGCTGCTGACCCTGCTGGACGACATCCGACAGGCTAACGCGGAGGCAAGATGGGCATACCGCGTAGCGCGATTCGTCTGGCCGGCGGCGACGACAGGGATCGCGAGTCGATACTATTTAGTGTGTATTGATTCTCGCACGATTGCATACGATGCCTCCTGCCGAGGTACCTTACTTTTTTTACTGTGTCGCGGTCCTGTTACCCGACCGTTGAGTTGTCCCAGCGACGGTGGCGTCTGCACGGTCTTCCCGTGCGTATCCTTTTTTGACAAAACCTAAGGATGCCCTCTTTTAAAATCTTGTTGGTACATAGGATGGGCCACGCAGCAACGCTTGGTCGCTCTTCGCCGTCGCACAACATCAACCATACATGGGACCCACCATCACCGCCGCCGCCACCACATTTCACGCAAACCTTAGGACTTACTCTTTTGTAGATCTTACAGGATACAGGCCACCTGAAACGCCTGTCGCCATCGCAACCAACAAAACATGCACCCACCACACCGCGTACTACGGCCAGGCCAAGGCGTTCTTGTCGAAGCACCGCGGCGGCGGGCTCGAGAGCTCCGCAGGGGCAGCCGAGGACGGGCTCCCCGCCGCCCCTTCCGCCCTCCCCACCCTGAGCGGGGGCGCCTCCGTGGACAACATCGCCGACGGCGAGGCTTCTCGAGCGTTGACGGACACGGAGGCGTTCTTGCCGGTGCTCGCGGAGCTCTCCAGCCTCTCGAACGTCTCGTATACGCCGGTGAGAGCGGTGTAACTATTGTTGTTGTTGTTGTTGTTGGAGAGAGAGTCTAACCTACATGTCTCTAACCTATGGGGAGGAAGTGCCGCTCTTTTTTTAGGCGTCTTATGTGCTCCTTTGGGTTGGTGTGTGTGTCCTTGTTGTTGGTGTCAACAGCGCTGTTTACTACTGTAACCGGCTGACCAACAATCGTGTATGTGTCTTGTGTTTCTTCGTAGCATCGACCGCGCTAACCGGCTGACCAATGAAAAGACGTCAGCTCTCAGTGCGGTTGAAAACACAAAAATGCTTCTAAAGGCCACAATCGTGTATGTGTGTGTGTTTTTTTTCCAGAAAGATACAACTTCATGTCATAACGATAACGGTATCACCACTTCTTCCCCAACTTCGCGTGTCCACAGCTATTTTAGTTCACACCACTTATGTCATGTCTTCTTCGTTTGTTCTCATTTTTTTGTGTGTGTGTGTGTTGATGGGACGAGTGTAGGTCGCGGCGCGGTCGCGTCAGCTGCTGATCGAGTACAAGAGCCCCTCCCTGCAGGACAGGCGGGCGGTCTTCTCCACGGCGGTGGCCGAGACGGTCGTGGCGTCCGGTGCCGGGGACGGCGACGCGCGCGTATCCGTCATGGACGCCTTCGTGAGTGAATTTAGTTGTTAGTATTAATGAAGTCTACGTTGCTGCGGTGCGTTTCGTGCTGTGTTTTGCCCGGCCAAAAGGTCGTCAGATTTCTGGTGAGTATTTGCTGTCGAAATTCGATCAAACCCGCCCATGATGTTCACATGCGTGCTCAACACCAGTGGCTACGGTTTGGGAGAGGGTTGGGACATGCAACGACATTCTCTTCAATCCGGTTTTTCTTACGCCATGCCAATAATGTGTTATTATGCAATACATCTGTGTATTTCTCACGGTCGGGTCAAGCCAAAAACACATTCTGAAACCCGATTTTTTCTCTTGAGTAGTATCCCCAAAACCGTAGCCGCTACTGCTGTAGCTGCATGTAGCTAACGAGCTTTTCTCCGAGAGATTATCAGGTCGTAAGTGGGGCACAAAAACGGAATGGCAAGCGTGTTGTGGTTGCAATTCATGCTTGTAGGCCACCTCTGCCCGTCCGTCGTTTGCTGTGCGAGGTTTGGTGCTTTCGTTTCCCGTTGCCTCTCCAGGCGTGGCACACAAACACACCCTCGCCGTCGCTGACACAAGTTTGTAGCCGCCTGCACATACGCCGAATCACCAACACTGCAGTCTTATGCATACGTAACCCCGAGCACGTTCTTTCTCTCGACGCAAAAACGCTGGGGCCGGCGGGGGGGGGGGGGACGCAGGTTGCTCGCGGGGTCCCCGTGCGCGACCTCCTGGTCCCGGTGGTGGCGACGGCGAGCACGGCGGAGGGGAGAGCCGCGCTGGAGCTGTACGTCCGACGGGTATACCGCACTCACGTCATTGACAACTTCTCCTGGAAGGAGACCGAGCGGCCGGCAGGTGTGTGTACTACGGTAGGCCGTGTACCTCCTCCTCCTCCTCCGCGCGAAATGTGATGGGGAGGGTGGAGCGGAGAGTGCATGTACTCACTCACACACGTTGGTGTGTCCATTTGCTGCTTTTTTTAGGGACAACAGCAAGGGGATCGCTGAGCCTCTCTTTCGCGATAGAAATGAACGGAGCGTTTTTTGTAGACCGACCCGGGGAAGGACCCCTCCCCCACACCTCTTGCATCTTGCGTCACCCCCACCCGCCTTAAGAGCCTTTACGGAAAGAGGGGTATGTGGACGTATGCCGCAGCCGTCTAGAATAGAAATGACAATTTTTGAATGTAGCTTGCCCAGCACAGACATTTTGGTGTTTTACCGTGGGGCTCGCGCTCAGGGGATTGGTGAGGAGGGGGGTCATCCTCGCCCACTCTCCTTGGCACCTGTTTGCTGGCCTTGCGGCTCTTGTTCTACGCACCCACGCGCACACTCATGCCTGACAGGAGAAGAAACGCGAGAATGAGCACCTCCCCCCCCCCCGCGCGCCCCCCACAACAGAGAGCGACGCAGCCGCAACAGTGGGGGGGCTAATCCACTGCGGTGCCTTCACCTTCCAGTCCCAGGCCACCCGGCGCCCCTCGATGCAGGGCGTCGCCGCCGGCCACGCGGCGAGCTCTTCCGTCGACCTGCAGCTGCTGGCGAACGGCGGCGGTGGCGACAGCCCGGCGGCACCTAGCCGCAAGGGCGGTTGGGGGAGCGGGGAGTGGGGCGTGGGCGGGGTGCCCCTGGGCGTCAGTCGTTGGGCCGGGCTTGGAGCTGTTGAGAAGCTGCAGGTTTGTTTGTGGTTTGGGGAGGAGGGGTTCGACGGGTGGAGGGGTCGCTTCCGTTGACAGCAAAACAGGGACCCGTTTTCTAGGCAAAGGTGGTGCAATGGCAGTGCGGGTGTTGTAGAGGAGGTGTTAGGTGGCAGCTTGGACCCACAAAGCAGTGGTTTGGGCGGGTTGTGTTGTTGCTAAGCCATTCCGTTGATAACTGCCAAGATTGTTTTCCACGTCGTGTTATGTATGTGTCCTGAGGATTCCGTGCGCGCGCTGTAGAGGTGCTGAATGCAAATCAAGAGAAGGGTGGCAAATGCAGTGTTGCTGTACTCTGTCAAGCCCAAATCCCACAACGAAACGGTGACAACGACAACGACGACAACAACAACAACAACAACAACATGCACGCACGCACGCACGCAGGATCTGGATTCTGGCATGGAGTCTCTGCTGGAGGTATTCCCGCAGTACCGGGGGGAGGCACCTGCTTGCGCCGAGGGAGCGGTGAACGCACTGCACATCGTTCTCCTCTCTAATCCAATCGACCCGGAGGTAAAGGTTGTCTACTAGAAGTACCCTTGTGCTTATTTCTCTGCTGTGGGTGTGATTTTCTTTCGCGTGCTATGGTTGTCTATCTATAGGCCGAGCCAATGGTAGGGGTTTGCGCCCGTTTAGTACAAAAACGCGCTTTTCTTTTTTCCACTCTGCATGTTTCGCTGTAGCTGCTGTTGTTGGTGGTGGTGTTGATGCTGCCGCCATGGCGTCTTTGTCTTGCGAGATGTGTAGCCACGAAGTATGTAGGCATTATTTTCGATTTTCGATTTTGCATTGCCACGCACAAGACGAAAACTACAAGATACGGTATAGTAGAAAGACAACAAATCACGGACACACCCTTCGCGCCCCAAAAAAGGGAAGGTAGGCATGATACCGTGGGAGGAGAGGTGGAGATAATAGAAGAACAAATCATGTGTTTTTTACATGCATGCGTTCGACTGAGAGGTGTAAGTAGACTGGGGCCTAGGATAGATAGGAACGGCACACCCACAGCAGTACTGCTGTACATAATTCCGACGACCTGGTGTTTGGAGCCAAGTAGCGGTATGGGGCTCGTATGCTGCTCTTGTTTCTCCTTGTTGCTTTGGCTGCAAATACACACACCTAAGCCTGTAAAAACGGTGGAATCCCGTGCTTGTGTATTTTTGTTTAATGCTTGTTCTTGTTCTTGTTCTTCTCTCTCTCACTCTCACTCACGCCATCTTTGCCCCTCTCTCTCTCTCTTTTATCTCTCTCTCTCTCCCCCTCCCCATGCTTCTGCAGGACACCAACGCACCGGGTCGCTCTCGTTCGGCCTCCGCCGCCTCCGAGGGCGCCGTGGCAGCCGCAGCCGCCGCCGCCGCTCAGGCCGCGGACGACGAGACCTCGCAGGCGCTCCAGGCCGCCCTGTCCAGGCACCGGGAGGCTCTCATGAAGGCCGACGTCCGGCGGGTGTCCTTCTTGTCGCCCCGAGAGGCCATCTCCGGAAGCACAAGGTATTCTGCACACACGCACGCGTGTTTTTTGTGTGTGTGTTTTCATTATTGTTATTGTAACAGCATCGTTCAAGTCTCAGTGAGGTTGGTTGAAAACGGAAAGTTCTACTATAATAGGGACATGATCTATAAAACCCGTGTGTTGTGCGTGTTGTTGGGTTTGCGGTGCTGTGGGTACAGCGGTAGCGGAGTGGCGGTGGAACTGCTTGGCAGCAACAAGGCAAGTGAGGTTTTCCGCTGAGATCGTGGCTGCCGTGTTTCTGGGAACAAGACGCTCGCTCGTCCGTTGTTCAGAGAATGTCGAAACTCTGTGTGTTGGTGAGAGAGTGTTTTTCTTGTACTTTAGGTGCGTTTTTGACGACGACGACTGCTGGGTCATGAGCGAGAACACCCGCTGCCTTCCGGGTGCGCTGTGTGAGAGGAACATCGAACATCGAGCTGTCGATTGTGGAGCCCATGTACCCGTGAGAGTCGAGTGAGACGGACGACCTCTGGCTTGGAGTCTCCGAATCGCGAGGCTGTCTATCATCTCGCGAAACGACAGCTTCGAAAGCCGCGTGCTTCTCGCTCCCCTCCTAGCTCCGTAGGGGATAGTTGAAACCCGTCTTCGTGAAAACGAGATTGCCAAATGCTCTCAATAGGCTCGCTTGCCGTAAACTAAACTTGTCACCCTTGCACTCGCCTTGACGACGAAAAAACTGCGAACGCCAGCATTTTGGGAGTTTTCACGTTCCGATCCCGTGCTGGGTACAAGGAGGACGGCCTGTTCCGGCACATCGAGCCCAGCCACGCTTTCCACCTGGACCTGCCTCGCCTCTCGAACTTCGCCATCTGCCCGGCCAACACCTCCCAGCTGCAGGTAGGATGGTACGCGTAGGACAGACAACAAATGGTGGTGGTGGTGGTGGCGTTGTTGTTGCCGCTGTTGGTGGTACTCCGGTGCATGCGTCTTGAGTCGGGTGCTCAAGCTAAATCGTGCAGCGACCAAGCAGAGTAGCAACAACCCCGCAAGAGAGCACCTCCCCACACAAGGCACTCGCGGCACGTCTTTCGTCCTTCAGGGGGGAAACGTGCACGTGTACAAGGCCACGCCCAAGGAGGCCGTGGGCGACAAGACCAAGGGCAAGGCGGCGGGGGGGGGGGCTAGCCGCTACTTCGCGAGGGCCGCTTCCGAGATCGCGGGGAGGGGAAAGCGGTACTTCATGGAGCAGGTATACAGGCAGCAGTGATAGTCGTGATAAATTATTTCTCCTCACCCGTCATCGTCATGGAACAGGTACATATACAGGCGGAACAGCTGTAGTATTGATTTTCGTGATGTAGTCATGTCCTGATCCTGACCCCCTCCCCCCCTATCCACGGCGCCCCTCAAAACAAGTGTTTCTCTTCTCATTGATTTCGCTTCTTTTTTTTGGCCGGTTGGAGGCGAATCTCCGCTCCCCAACAAAAACCCCGAACCAACAACAAACAGATGGATTGTCTATCATTTTTTTTGTCGCATCCCCCCTTTATTGGGTGAATGGCGGAAAATTTC